GATGTCATTCACCAGTCTCCCCAATGTATGCCCTATTAATCTTTACTTTCTCCTACATATTTTTGATCGATTGGCTGTTACTTGGTTTGTTCCCAGAGTTTCTTGTCACTTTTTATTTCTGGTCATTCGATCCTCATTATGAAGCTAGCGAAGACAGTTGTTGATCAAAGTCAGCAGTAGCCTGTTCAAAATGCTTTTCGTGACACGCAGTGCAAGTATCTGGCCCGTATAGAAGAACAGACTTGATATTGGTACTGAATATCCAAATCCTATTCCTTATGTTGGCTGAGTGCAGACGATTTCCGAATTGGTTTCAGGGTGATGAAGGCGTATTTTGGCTTTCCAATTCTCGCTGGCTGTGACATCTTCATCTGTTCTGCTGGGTGCGGTTGAAACTATGCCTCCTAGATAAGTGAAGGAGGCAACGTCTGTTAGATTTCTCCCAGTGATGATGATTGGTGATAGTTGTAGGATAAAAGCAGATTGTATGCTAGTGTGTAAACTTGAAGCCAACTTGTTTTACTTCAAGCACTGTGAATTTAAAATTATTATTGTTATTATAACAATGTGATTTAGAGGACATCAAAGAATGGTGTGGTTCATCTATTACGAAGGTGACGGTTTTGTTGAACGTACCACTAGACAACTGAGGCAACGTGTTACTGAACATCTTCCATAGTGGTTTGACAAAGAACAGACAAAAAGCGACCTTATCTCCATTTTATTAAACTAACTTGATGGTGGTCATTAAGTGCAGAGGACGAAGGCATTCAAGGTGATTTATCGCATATCACCGAATCTTTCCAGTGCACTTTGTGTTTGTCTAAACCATGCATGGCTTATTAAGACCTAACCAACGGATGAAGTCACCACCACCCATTACTTCTATTTTCAATCCTCATTTCAACATTCTTCAATCTTATCACATCTTTATCAAAACGTAGTTTATTTAATTCCCTTTCGATCTGGCAATGCCTGATCGAACTATTTGTTTTCCTCAGCCTTTATAGAGTACATTCCCTTGAATATTAGTTTCTGAAACCATGTTGCATTTCATTATTCTCGTTATCACAGATTATTAATGTTATCAATATTACAGTGACTAAGTGCACAATTTATATGCACAATCGTATTATCCTAATAACAAATCACTGTGATTGGCTTATATTTTACTTTTTATTTGTAAAGTTCTGTATATTGCAGTCAAGCTTGATGAAGTCCAATTCAAAACAATATTCGGGTGTTCGTTTGTAGGGATTTGATTGGTTACAGGATTTTCATCATGAGATGACATTCGTTAGAGAAGCATTGGAAAACCTGAGAGTACTGGACAGCTGTTTCGTCCTAGTTTGGGACTCTTCATCAGTACGCACCTACCGGGATTCGAACCCAGCACCTTCTGGTCACAAGGCTAGCGAGCTCGTATACCATTAAGCCACTGGGACCCGATCCAATGGTCCATGAATTCTAACTTCTGCCAATTGACGACATAGCGCGACCCTTAGCCAATGTCTTCGGCGAGTATTTGTCCTCACACCCGACCTGCTGCACCCTACTGGTCACGACTCCTCACTAGGGATCGCGCTATGTCGTGAATGGTCAGAAGTTAGAGTTCATGGACCATTGGATCGGGTCCCAGTGGCTTAATGGTATACGAGCTCGCTAGCCTTGTAACCAGAAGGTGCTGGGTTCAAATCCCGGTAGGTGCGTACTGATGAAGAATCCCTAACCAGGACGAAACAGCTGTCCAGTACTCCCAGGTTTTCCAATGCTTCTCTCACGAATGTCAGCTCATGATGAAAATCCTGTTATCAAAACAATATTGTTTGCTCAATTGTGCTGTTCTGAATTTGATTCGTTCAAAGTTTTTACCGTAGAATATAGTATTTTAAAATACTTGGAAACCAACTAGTATAGAATATTTGGTCTATTTTCATGTAGATCACGATGAGGTTCAACAGAATTTATAGGATCAGCGATATAGAGAAATAGCATCACCACTAGCCGATACAAGTTATGAATAACTGCTTCACAAATGACGTGGTAGTCCCAATCACTTAATACTCAACACTGCTGCAGTCTGAATGTCATTTGGTCTGTCTTCTTAGGGACTGTAGGAGCACAATACCAAACCAAATCAAGATGAAAGACCACTCCAGTTTTACTTGAAATTCAATGATTTTCTAACCGATGACGGCTTCTGATAAAATCTTTATTGAGAATTATCAGTTCATTACTTTCTTAGCGAAACAGACCTTCTTGGTTTGCATCTCAATGCTTAAAGAGGAAATGTAAATGTCGAGTGTTAAGTGATAAAATGACTGAACAAATCCAGTTTGCTTTCACATGACGTCATAAAATGCAAAAGCCACAAAAACACAAGTGAAGCAGACGGATAACATAGAGATTTACAAGCAGACAAAATAAACTGCATAAATATGCAAAACAGATTAAATTTAGCTCAGAAAGTGAAACACAACCGAAGATGTAATAAAAATGGTAAATGAAGTAATGGAAATACTAGCAGTTCAATAAGACATAATGATGTTAAACAGGAATTCTTTTCCAATTTCGTGCATAAAATGTGTCCCGAGAAACTAAAGCTGCAGGGCCACAATTTTCAAGATTCCTTTCGAGCAAGTGTCCACAGTGGTTTTAGGTATTGAGTTTCAAAAGACGACATTGTGAACGAAATTCTTGACAACTACTGAAGATAGGTTCCCAAATATGTTTCCCTTGATAGTTTCAATGATTTCATATTCTGTTTCAATGTCCATCATTGTTCTCTTCAATGTTTTTCATATAATCCTCTTCATCCTACATATTTTACAGTCTTATTACGATAACCCTTCAGTCCTTCTAAACTCATCGATTTCTATAACTAACACACTACCGGTGACTGTCTTCATAGCCCTACTTTTCCTATTCTCTATTAGATGTTGTTTATTCCATTGCAATGATTTTCTTGATTGCAGTAGACTGGATAATGCGACAAACAGTGGGCAATGAGGAAACAGGCATAAAATGGACACACACAAAAAACTTGGAGGATCTGGACTTTGCCGATGATATATGCCTGATTTCCCACAAACTGGAAGATATGCAACAAGTTAGCAGAAGAAGCATCAAAGATAGGACTTCAGGTGATCATAGATAAAACAGAGGTGATGAAGATTCCTGGGCAACATCACCAACAGCAACAACAACAGACAACAATCAGCATAAATGGGAGGAACCTGAAAGAAACAACCTCTTTTACCTACCTGGGAAGCATCATCTCAACTACAGGCGGAACTGACGAGGATATCAAAGCAAGAATCGGAAAAGCAAGACAAGTTTTCATTACTCTCAAGTCTGTGTGGAGGTCAACAACACTCAGCATCAAAAATAAGATCCGGATTTTCAACTCCAATATGAAGTCAGTGCTACTCACTAAACGGATCAAAGACTTGCACTGCGCGTCATAAAGAGCACATCAAACAAACTACAGACCTTCATTAACAGTTGTCTTCAGTCAATACTCAAGATGAGATGGCCAGAAAAGATCAGCAACAAGGATCTCTGGGAGCGAACCAACCAGGAATCGATTGTGAAACAAATAAATAGGACGAAATGGAGATGGATTCGCCATACTCTGAGGAAACCATCAAGTGACATCACTAGACAAGCCATCGAGTGGAACCCGAAAGGGAAGCGGCGAGTTGGTCGTCAGTGCGAAGGTGTGGTGACTTGGAGGAGGTCATGTGAAGAAGAGATGAAAACGTGTGGGCAGACTTGGAGCCAGGTGAAGACTCTAGCAGAGAACAGAACGCAATGGAGACGCACGGCTGAAGCCCTATGTTCCTGTAGGAATTAAAGGATACAATAATAATAATAATAATTCCATGGCAAAACTAAGATACAGAAGTGGAAACGTTGGTCCCAGAATGTCCACTTTTTATCTACTAACCCATTATGATTACAGTAATCTTCTTTAATAAAAATAACATTCTAATGTTTATTCATATCTGCAGATGAATCAGTTCACCGCACATATTCATAACACTGAAGAATAAATGGACACTTCAGTGAGATCTACTGTTCTTGATGTACTTCCATAAACAAATTCCTCTGCAAAAATTTTAAAGGAGAAACAGTCGTAACTTGACGTTTTTATCACATAATTTAACTCAAGTCTGATCATTGACTGATGGCATTCAGAGATCCATTGAAGAGGAGGGAGCACTGTCTCCTTCTAGTGTCAGACTCTTCGTTATTACATACCCACCGGGTTTGAACCAAAAATCTACTGGTTACAGAGCTAGTTCGTACGCCATACAGCCGCTGAGACTAGATGCCATTGTCCACAAATTCTAAGTTCTGCTAGACTGTGGTTTTAGCATGATAGTCAGCCAATGTTATCGGCATGTATTTGTCCTCAATTCCCATTGGGTGAATCCGACTGGTCATGGTTTCTTGCTAGAACTCATAGCCACTGGATCCTGCAGCCAGTCACTAGTAAGCATCAGTTGAATTTCTAAGGGTTGGTGTGTAAGGATTTAATCTACTTCAAGTCTAAAAGCTTCTTTTGTAACTGGAAGTGGAGTGTGCGTCCTGCCGAAAAGTCTCGAACAGCTACCCAGCACTCCCTGGTTTTCCCTGGTCCCCCAAATGATATCACTCAATAACGAAACTTGAAATATATCAAATCCCCACAAACTAACTCATGAAAATATAATTTACTCCATAATAAAAATATTCCTTCACGGTATACTCAAAATCAATACTTTTTAGTTCCAGAATTCACATAGAATTCCGGATTTTTTTACATGTATCTTCATGATTTTGAAATAACATAAATTACCATGGACCCAAAAACGTGATAAAGTATGTGAATACCTAATAGACAACTGCTTACACCTCTGAGCAACAGTATTTCACAAAAAATAACATTGCTGAATATGTTGTGAATGAATGCCGAAAATATAATTTGCTTGTATACTTTCATCAGTATAACTTACATTCTAAGGTCCGATTGTTTTCACACTCAATTCTTACTTTCTCTCGTAATATTTCTGCTTCTTTGGGAGACAAGATTGTGATTTCTGAAGCATCCTGTAAAATAATAAATAATTGATATAATGATTGTAACTCAACCATGTATTATTATATGTTTACTTGAGTTATAAAACAAATGTATATCAAAACTTTTAGAAATATCAATTATGTTCAGGTGTTTCCTGCTACAAGTCATGCCGACGTGAAAAAAATGATCTTTTATTTTTAGTTAGTTTTAATTAGAAAGAAATTCTGTCTTCAAGTAACAAAACTGTCTTTGTGAATATACGAACCATGATGTCTATCCCTTATTACAATTATTTCGATTATTTTATGATGATTTTGCGTTCACAAACGGCCGATTAGAAATTACAGCAGCCAGCTTTACACCAGAAGTCTTTGATATAGATTCTAAGTATTTGTGTAGTAGAGAGTGCTTTAGCAGTTTCATTGAATACTACCGTGTTAATGTTAAGTTTAAGGACGAGATTCCATGATACAAAGCTATGTAAAAGATGTGAAAGTCAGCGGATAATACACATCATTCTACTATTAAATTTGCTCGTGCTCTAATGGCTTGCTATATATTAATAATACACTTAGCTAGATTTCTCTCCATTTTGCGATATTTTTACCGATAAATGGCTACCTATTTCTATGAAGTTAAGCAAAGAATGCGTACTTGTACTACTCAACCTCACGCCTTCTAAGCATACCAGATATCCTGATTTCCAAGTACTTTATTAATTAATTTACTGAACATTGACGGCCTTATTTAGAAGCATATTTGTTAACTCATCTTAAATCTGAATACTAAGTCAAAACATTCTTAAGATATACCATTCAAAAAGTTATTCGTTTCTTCTTCATGCCTTTCAGCTAATCCCATTCTGAGTGGGACATTGAGCTTCAACCTTGAAGTTTTGAAGTTTCATAAGTGGTGATATTATTACAAGGTGGGGTTGTTAGCCGAACACCTAACCATCCCTCATTCCTGAACTTGCTACGTGTAGAATTGTGTCGGCCAGGAAGAGAATCCGGACTGTGTATGTTTTTGGCGAGTATTCTACTACTTAACCACCGGTGCATAATAAAAACAAATAAATTCATATAAACATAATTTTTCAAAAGAAGGTTTCGACTACGACTACTGAGGCTTTGACAATATCTAAAGAATAACATTATGCTATTTGGTAGATGATGACTCCCAGTGGCATCCAGAATTCGCCTTTTGTCATACTTGATAATCTTCAGCTGAATGTACCTGAAACCCACCAGTGAAAGGATGGATGTTACGTCCCAAAGGAAATTTCAGGCGCACCCAATTGAAGAGTCCCAAATAGGACGAAATGCGAATGCTAGATTCCACCACTAGTCACCATCCACCAAAATTACATTACATCATTTTTCAGCAGAAATTACTTCAGGCTTCACTGGTCATGTACACTTCGATATAACACTGAATTGATGGTTTCACAGTATGAAACTTCAATAATTGAACTTCTATCCCTGAAAAATTAGGGCTAACCTGAGCATAATTCGAGAGAATCACATTCAAAATCAATTTAACTCCATTTTGTTTTCTAAGCAAGAATCATGTCGATTTCTTTTTCCGTGAATAAATTGAGAGATTGTATGTTTATTAGTGCTAAATACTCCTAATGACATACAAAAGTGATTAAAGTTGTACACAAGCGATAAAACATGCATGAATTGTGTTTATATTTCCTACTGTATTCAGAATGCCATCCAAGTTACATTTCTTGGAGAAGTGTAACACTAATTTACCCTACACTTAATAATGTGATTAAACCTATTCGGAAAAAAATAGGACTTCCCGAGTCAATTTAATTTATATCTTGATTTGTAGTTTACGTTGGTATTTGTAATAGCAAGGTGAAAAATGAAAATGTCATTGGATGAAAGTGTATAGTATTTATTCAATCCTACACAACTGTGACGTACCTAAATAATAAATTGGACATTGTCATTTAGTAGCAATAATCTTCGTACACTGCTTTCAGTGATTTAAGATCTGACAGCAGTAATGAAAATAAACCACAGGTGGCTATGATACAATAACATATTTGACAGTTTAATAACCACTAGTTTATTGCAAAACACTATGACTCTTTAAAATAAATTTAATAGATAGTTTTGCTTATTTAGAAAAATTAAAATATGTTTTCCCTAACTGAATTACGTAGTGTTCGCTTTGGCATTTTAGGTAATTTCTGTAGTTCATACTCTTTCCTACAGTCAGAAAATTCAATTTACTTCGGAAAACTTTAATCAGAGTTTTACTTTTAAACACAAGCAATTTTAACAGTTCAAAGTGAAATTTCACCACAGTTTCATTTGAAAACTGAAATTACTCAGGTCAAAGTATGTGATTTGCCTGATACCATAAAATAGTAATCAAGAAAAGAAGCATAAATGCGTGAAACTATATACTACTTATCGACTCAGATGAGTGGTAGTATATCAAATTTGCAAATTACGAACTTTATTGAAGGTGTTATCAGTTTGCCAGGTAGCTAACCAGAATTACAGGCTTGTGTAAAGTGATTCAGCTCTCTGCGCCCAGTCAAACGTGGCACACCGCTGATGAGCTCAGCCCAAAACGAGCGAAACGGCTATCCGGTGCTCATATCATTTTGATCTGGTTAGCAAGCCCTGTGGGTTGATGTGAGTGATAATCAATTACTCTTCTCATTCAGTCAGTAGTTTATAGTTTCACATAAACATCTGATTACTTTCAAGTGTAGTTCGGAATGATTAAAAGGAGTATTAGGATTAATCAGCCGAAAATACTTCATGACGATTAATTATTAATTTGTTTGATGGTGAATAGCAGTAGTTTACAGGATGCCTAATTCGTTCAGATCCTAGCCACACAAACTGGATGTGCCTGCGTTTCCAATGCGCAATAGTATCCTAACTGAGACTCGAACCCTAAGCACAACGTTTCAAACTTCAAGGCATCTTCCACTGAGCCATGGAAGCCATCAAAACACTATCTAAGCAACTGGTATTAGCTGTTATTTAAGCTAGAATAAATAATCATCGACAAATGCAAGTTGTTCTGGATAACGAGTCCCGAAAAGGATGAAATGCGCACGTTTCATTCCACTGCTAGTTACAACCAACCAAAAGTGACTTAAGATTGACCCTAAGACATGATCAAAGCGTGCGCATTACGAAGGATTATGTAAACAGAAACTGAGTATTTCGGTCGAACATAATTAATCAACGGAAAATGCATATTAACCTCAAAACAATGGTTAGTTATTTTTTGAGAAACACACATTCTCACAATGAGTAGACGAAATAACCTGGAAAATGCCTGCATCTGAATCAGTTTCCAAGGTCAAATTAGTGGTTTACGGACTTTCGCATTTTAAAATGGTAAGTGACTAGTGGTTGAATAAACTCAGAGAAAAAGAGTTTGAGGTACAGTGCTTCAGTTCACAAATAAATCCCGCGCTTCAGTACTATTATATTTCAGAGATTAAAAATGATAAACGCAGTTCGCGTAGGTATTGTATATTATATGAACAAAACGATGAAATGAGTTTATCCTTTCACAATTACGAATGAGATGCACAATTCTCCGTAATATGCTTTGAATCTCTAATTTTTGAAATAAAGTCGCTGGTAAATTTGTATGTGCCTTTTAAGGATGAACAGGCTCGTCTGTATTACGTAGTCAAATTTGAAACTGATGTGCTTGAAATGCCACAGTTGTAAACTAAGCTTCACTTCAGAGTATTTTGGTTGGTAGTGAATATTTCACTTCGAAAATTTAATCGAACTGCATTTACTGCAAGGAGAGACGTCATCTATGACAAAAGAATCTAACAGTCAAAACTTAACTATTACGAACACTTTCTCTCTTATTTTACTATTTTTATTACCTTAAATCTAATGCCCATGTCGCTTGATAAATACTGTGAAATACTGAGTGAAAATACCCAACAAAAGCGACCATATGGCTCAAAATTCTGTATCCATCAGTCGAACAGCAAGTAGTATTTAAAACTACCCAATCATATTTTCAGTACCAGTAAACTTTAAACCAAGCATAGCAACCGCACAAATAAGGATTACAAGGTCTCGAACAAATAAATAACAAAAGGAATATTTAAGAAAAAGCTTCAGACCATACAGTTTCACAAAAGCAGCATTCTACAAATATAAAGAAAATTGAAAGGCTGATCAGAAATATTTGTTTTCTATTCAGTAAATAAACAAGCAGCTACGTCCAAGTTTACCTGAAATCCACATGTTATGTCATTCGAGTATTCAACTATTTGTTATTCGACCAGACTATTTACTGGCACAAAATATTCATTTGCAATGAATGTATACATTAAAACAGATACTCCGTTTTGATTTACTAAAACATACAAATGGTGACAAATTACAGAAAAATAATAAGATATTAAAACCACCTGCAGTGGTCAGAGATATTTAAGTAACGAAGGATTTTTCAACTTTTCGACTCAGAGCTTCTACATGGTATGCACAGAAAACTTCAGCATCTAAATAAAGTGATTTCCTGTGGAACCACCTTCGTGTTTTGGGCTAAAATGATGAAATTGACGAGCTATAATATAACTGGTATACCTGTTAAGGAATACGTTTAGTCTATCCTATTATTTCCATCAGTAATTACTTAAAGTAAAATCAACGGGTAACATGGAAATTTTTTTCAATAAGTGTACACTCAAAATAACTTTGAAATATCCCATACATTGCATAGGTCTTATATTCAAACATAAATTTGTATAAATCCCGTCGAATTTCAAAACAAATAATTCTAACTCCTAGTTCGGCAAACTGGTTAGAACCACTTCTAGGAAATAATCAAAAAGTCAAAATATTTAAGTGCATATTGAAGGACATATCCTGTCTTTAAAATACTTATCCAGTCGTTTCTGATTAACTTAGTCATCTAAGACGAAAACTTACACAAAAGTGCATAAACTGTGAGGAAGATTTGACTGGATACTTCCGAAAACTTATTAATTGTCCATTTTTCTATGCACTTTAAGCAGTGTGTACAGTTAATTCAGTATTTAGTGGCAATGTTTAGTTGAGGATCAAAGTCATAGAAATCTGAATAAGAAAAATATGTGTGATATACAATTATATGCATGAACATGTGAATAATTGAAAATCATTTATCAGCATTTCACTAAGAATATGCAGATAGTGGGGAAATCAGATTAGGCATGGAAAATTAGTACTTGAAACCCTAAGCATCGTCATCATCGAACAAAGCATAGAACGGTAAACCTCTACCACAACTTCATGGACTTCTAAAACGCCTTCAACAGAGCAACGGTGACCAAGATGTGATTCGGAAACTAGTTCAACACTAAGGCGTGCAGTGCCCAAGTCTTTATCAACCTCATTCAACAGTTGCTTATATGCCAGTGCCACTTGTCAGGTGATCCACAACGGAAAAATCTGTAAGGCGTTCTAAGTACATACAGGAATAAGAGAGGGCTGACTATTTTCATCGGTGATATTCTTAATTGCGGTGGAGAGGAATATACGTCAGACCGTGCATTGTGAATGAGAATACAGAAATAGGCTGAACCACAAGCAATAGTATTCTGGAAGTTCTGGATTTCGCAGACGATGTATATCTAGTGTCACACAAACTCGAAGACTTACATGCGAAAATCAACAAGCTGGCTGAAGGGGCCATCAGCAAAGACGGGACTCCCAGTAAAAATGGAGAAGATGGAGGTGATGAAGATAACCAACTAATCGCTACAACAACAACAACCAGTACCAATCATCATCAACGGGAGAAATTTAAGAAACTTTGCTTCCTTCACTTATCTAGAAAGCATAGTTTCAACTGCAGCCAGCAGAACGGATGAAGATGTCACAGCCAGCGAGAATCGGAAAGACAAGATACGCCTTCATCAACCTGAAACCAATTTGGAAATCGTCTGCACTCAGCCAGCACAAGGAACGAGATTCCCATTTTCAACACCAGTGTCAAGTCTGTCCTTCTATACGGGTCAGAAACTTGCACTGCGTGTCACGAAAAGCATTTCGAACAGGCTACTGCTGACTTTGATCAACAACTGTCTTCGCTAGCTTCATAGTGAGGATCGAATGACCAGAAAGAATAAGTGACAAGAAACTCTGAGAACAAACCAGGTAATAGCCAATCGCTCAACAAATATGTAGGAGAGAGTAAAGATGAATGTGGCATTCATTGAGAAAACCAACGAATGACACTGCGTGCCAGGTCCTCGGGTTGTATCCCAGTGGGAAGCGTCGAGTGACTCGTCCCAGTGTGACATGGAGGAGATTTTGTGAGGAGCAGAGGACAGAGTTTGGTCAGTCGTTGACCCAGCTGAAGAAGATGTCAGCAGATAGGACAAAGTGGAGATGCGTTTTTGAAGCCTTATGTTCCACTCAGAACTCAAAGGAATAATAATTTACTCTTATTTATTAATCAAGACTCGTCATGCATTCGCTGAAATCACACCGTTACGTAATTTCATATTTCTGGGATTCCTTCATACATTTAGGGTCTCTGCAGTCAATCTTTCATTATATGAACCCAAAAATTTCTGTAGTACCTTGGTTCTGTCAAAATTACGTGCAACAATTTACTGTACTGACAAAATGCTTACTATAGCAACTCATGGAAAACATTTTTGTGAGACATGATAATCATTCAGCACATCACAGCAGCCACGTAACACATGCTTAACAAGACAATATTTGTTAACATACAAAATATTTCACCTATAATCAGTCTTCAGTACACGTCTTGTGTTATTGTTATTAACACTTTTGATTATAATCAATAAACTTCCTAAATAATTAGTTTTAAAGTCTATAAAGATTGTTGAATTTTTCTATTGTGTCTTGAAGAGGTTATTGTCAATCACTAAAACCGATTTGATACTAAACGATATAACGTGATAGACATCCAGGCAGTTTAATAAACAGTTTTTAAAAATATCTGTTTAGTGCTTCCTACTTACAAACTGAGACAGATAAACAGTTGCCATTGCGTCACCAGCTGTCTTTTCACAAAATATCGTGCTGATTATAATAATAATATAAGTTTTAAAATCAAATGTAAATATTTGAAACAATATATCGGTGGGGGAAGCAATAAGAAGGGCTGTTTACTTACTGATTCTCAGTAGGTTAGTAGTGACGTGACTTGGGCTTTCCTCACTATATAAAATGTGTCTTAATAAGCTACCGCATTGTTTTTATTGTTAGTCGTAGGAACATGAAGTCTCCTATAGTTGCTTCTAGCCTCACCTTATGAAATGAAAACAGAAAGTTGTGTATAGAGAGGATGCTCAGATTCTGACAAGAGAATATTTGCTAATTTCTTACAGAGATCCATGTGTCTATCTACAATAGTGTTAATGAATTGGTTTAGCAACACCGCACCCGCCTCACTGACGGCTTCTATTGTCCTACGCAGTATAAAAAAGTCTTTCTTAAGTAGTCTGGGAAAGATTAGGCGAGCGGTAGTAAAGAAGTATAAGCAGAATATAAGAATTAACGGGCTTTAACACTAGAGACTGGATGTTACCACATCGTCATAACTTACTTACGCAGAACTTCAAACAAAATATCTTCCAAGGAAGTAACATGACGTGGAAACATCAGATAAGGGCACAAGAAATACACAATCCAAAGTATTCAACATTCGATTTA